TTTCCTTGTGCTGTTGATTTCTATTTTTATTCCATTGTGATTGGAAAAGATACTTTGTATGATTTTGATTTTTTAAAAATGTGTTAAGACATGCTTTGTAGCCTAACGTATTCAATCCTGAACAATGTTTCATGTGTACTTGAGCAAAAATTAATATTCTGGTGCTATTGGGTAGAGTGTTTTGTATATGAGGTTTGGCATTTAAGCTTGTGAATTTATACTAGAAAAAGTGCTCCATACCTCATTGCTGTATATTACTATGGTCACCTTCGAAGTCTTCCCCTTGGGAAGCTATGTGCTAACACCAGTGCCTAGTTCACCTGTCAAAGCAGCTTTGGAGCTGTTTTTCTGGAATGGCCATTAGAGATGTCGTATTACCCTTGATGTCGTGAATGGCATCAAATGTCTTCCTTTCAATGTTTCCTTTATCTTCAGGTAAGGAAAAAAGTCACTGGGGGCCAGATCAGGTGAGTAGGGAGGGTGTTCCAATACAGTTTACTTGTACTGTGCTGCCACTGTATGCACAGTGGCAAGTTTGTGAACTTAACTATCAGACCCCAACAAATACCCATGACAACTCTAATGGCTTTTCCAGAAAAAGAGTTCCAAAATTGCTTTGATGGGTGGACTAGTGCTTTGGTGCTGGCATTGGTGTACAGCTTCCCAAGGGGAGTACTTTGAAGGTGACCGTAGTGATATTCAACAATGAGGTATGTAGCACTTTTTCTAGGATGGTTCACGAACCTAATTGTTGTACCTCATATACATTGTATACCCATTAACATAGGTCTACAATTATTTCTTATGCATTTATCTTTTGAATCCTCGGAAAAATAATAACTTACAATTATTATTTACAGTAACAAATGTTGACTTTTAGATTTGTCCACCTGTTTCCTTTGCTGGAGATTTTTCTTTTTTTTTATAGTTTTCAGTTATTTTCAGCATCCTTTGATTCCAACTTGAAGGACTCCCTTTAGCAGTCTTGTAGAACAGATCTAGTGTTATTAATCTCATGTTTTATTCATCTGGGAATGTCTCAATTTTACCCTCATTTTTGAAGGACAGTTTTGCTGAATATAGATTTCTCCATTAACAGGTTTTTTCTATTATATACTTCCCACTGTCTTCTGACCTCTAAGGTTTTTGCTGAGAAATTACAGACTTTCTTATTAAGGATACTTTGTACTTGCTTGAGGAGTCAGTTTTTTCTCTTGCTGATTTCTAGTTTCTGCCTTTGTCTTTAGTTTGGTGATAGTATGTCTTGGTGTGAGTCTCTTTGGGTTTATTTTATGTGGGGTTCACTGAGCTTCTTGGATGTTTATATGCATGTCTTTCCTCAAATTTGGGACGTTTTCAGCCATTATTTCTTCAAATCTCTCTGCTACGTTCTTTGTCTCTTCTCCTTCTTGGACCCCCTCATGTATTTGTTGATCGACTTGGTGGTGACCCGTAAGTCCCTGAGGCTCTGCTCGCTTTTCTTTATTCTTTCCTTTTTTGCTCCTCTGGCTCAATAATTTCAAATGTACCGTGTTCAAATTTGCTAATTCCTCTGTCTATTCAAACCACTCTGGTCAAGTTTTCAATTAAGTTATATTTTTTAGCTCCAAAATTTCTGTTTGATTCCCTTTTGTAATTTTTGTCTCAGCCATTTCATTTGCTTCCTTTGAATTAGTCATCTTTTTTCTTTGTAGGCCTTGTGATTTTTTTGGTGAACGTTGGGCATTTGGAAAAATAGCTGCCTCTCCCAGTCTTTACAGACCTCCTCTGAATTGGGAAGGACCGTCACTGATTAGAGGGTGTCTCTGAGCCTGGAGATCAGCCTGGGATGAAGGCTTGAGGTCTTGTTTCTTCTGAGGATGCATTTTCCCTGGGCCACTGTGAGCTGTTTGATTCTCCCACAGTCGGGACCTCCCCCCCCCGGACCTCTTTTAAATAGCTCTTTCCCAAAGCACCTCCTCCAGCCCCCCTTGGTCCTCAGATGCTCTGTTGTGTTTCTCCACCTGTATTCCTGCCCCCGGTATGTGGGGGCGTAGTCACCCTGCTGCCTTGCCCAGCAGTGCCCGCAGCTGTTTTCTACCACCTTTCCTGTCCGAGCTCTAAGTTCATGAAACAGAGGCAGCCCTAGGCAGAAGGTCTGCTCTGGTCCCCCCAGTCTGAGGGAAAGAACTGGGAATCGGGCCCCTACTTCCATTGGTGGTGCCATGCTGGGGAATAGGGGCCGTGGTGAGTAAAACACCAGTTCCCAACATCCTGCGTAAGGCTCCTCCTTCCCCTCCCCCCTCCCTCTCTCCTTCCCTACTTCTCTCCCTTCCTCTCTTTTTTTAATCACTCTGTTGCCAGGGCAGGAGTGCATTGGCTTCTGAGCTCAGGCGTTCCTCCCGCCTTAGCCTCCTGAGTAGCTGGGCACATACCACCAGGCCCGGCTAATTTTTTAATTTTTTTGTAGAGACAAGGTCTTGAACTCCTGGGCTAAAGCAGTCCTCCCGCCTTGGCCTCCCAAAGTGCTGTTATTACAGGCGTGAGCCCCTGCCTTGACTCTTTTTTTGGGCATTCTCCTGGTTGCTGGAGCTCTTTGACTGTTTCCCAGAGCTCCTATAAGATATTTTAGTTAGTTTCTAGTTGTTGTTTTTAATGTTTCTGTGGGCAGATGAGGACCTTGAGCCTCCTATTTCACCATCTTGCTATGTTCTTTCCTGTTCAATGAATTTGAGCAGGGACTTCTGTGTGTTGGTGACAACATGGGAGATGCAGGGGAGGAGTGTCCTCTCCATTCTAGATAAGGGCCCGAGTGCCATGCTGGGCAGTGGCAGCACAAGACTAGCTGAGTACCTGCCCTTGGGGTCCCATGGCCTAGAGGGGAGGCAGACTGATAGCAGCGATCCCACAAACACTGCATCATTGCAGATGGCGGTGTGGGCTGGGAGCTTAGAGAATGTGTGACGAGGCATGTTTGGGTTAGGAGCATAGGGAAGGTGGTGGCAGTAACATTTCAGCAAAGGATTTGGGATAAAGGCAGAGTTGGCCAGGTGGCCAAGCATTCAGAGAAAGGAACAGCATGTGCAAAGGGCCTGAGGCAGGGAGGACCTGGGTCTAGGGCAGAAGAAGGCACTGTGTTTTGGAAGCATCATGAACAAGGACAGCAGAAGGGTGAGAGGAAGCTGCAGGGGCCAGTGGGCCAGGCCAGGCAGGATAACCCTGGGAGCTGGAGGAAGCTCCCAAGTGCATTGGGACCCAAGACAGGCCCAAGAAGGGCAGGAACGAGGGCTGGGGAGGGAGGCTTTCTCCTTGGCACCTGCCAGGAGAGCCTTTGTGCAGCCCTGCATGTGGCAGATACTCAGGGAGAGTGACTTAACCTGCCCTTCACCCCAGCTTGGGAGGCTTGGCCTCTAGTGAGACTTCTCCCCTCTGCTGGGGTTGAGGGGAAGGCAGAGGCAGTGCTTGCCCTGGGGGACTGAGGGTGTCCAGTTGTGGCTGTGGGCTAGACCCCAGGATGGGGCCGAGGAAGGCTCAGGGCTCTCCCCCAAGGGCCCCTTTCCTCCATTTCTGCTCCATGCAGACTGCCTCAGGTCAGTGTGCAGGCAGCCACAGACTTGTCATCTGCATTTTCCTCCCCCAGACAGCGCAGCCACGCTGTCCTCTAGGCCATCGCCGTCGCTGTTCCCCAGGGACAGTACCTTCTGCTGCCCTTCTGTAAAGCCTGCTTGCAGTCAGTGCCTTCTCTAAAGCCTGTCATGAATACACTGAGCCCCCAGATAGTGTCATGCGGGGGTTCACCTGTGAGCAGCCCTGCCTTACAGATGAGGAGACTTTCCCCCTCAAGGGGTAATTTTCACATGGCTACATGCTGCTGTGGGCAGAGCCAGGACCATGGCCTGCTTCCAACCCGGCACTTCCCTGTCCCACTGCCCTCAGAGTGGCCGCTCCACTCACCATGACTGGCAGAGAAAAAGATGGCCAGACACAATGACAGTCTGAGGGTGGGGAACCCTGAGAATTAGGGCCCCACCTCTCATCCCTGGAAGCCTCAGGTTCCTACATGCTGCCTCACGCTAGGAGATACAAATAAAGCTCGAACAAATGCTTTCATTTGGGAGTGTATCGAACCAAAAATAATGGTGCCCAGCGAATTTACTTTGCTACCTGGGTGGAATTTTTATAGGTTTTGAAAGTACATAGACATTATTTCCTCCTTGGCAGGAATGTGCTGTTTGAATGAAAGAGGCATCTGTTGTGAAACTCCCAGAAAAACAAGCCTCTGTTCCAGATTTTCCTGGGCTCTCTGTAGTTGCCTGAGGGATGGCAACTAAACCTTTCGAAAAGTAAATTGCCTAAAAAGAAGTGTAAATAGCCAGGCTCGGTGGCTCAGCCTATAATCCCACGGTTTGAGACCCGCCTGGGCAACTTGGCAAGACCTCATCTCTACAATAAATCAAAAAATTAGCCGGGTGTGGTAGCGCGCGCCTATAGTTCCAGCTACTTGGAAGGCTGAGGCGGAATGATCACCAGAGCCCAGCAGGTTGAGGCTGCGGTGGCCGGGAGCGTGCCACTGCACTCCAGTCTGGGCAACAGAGTAAGACTCCAACTCAAAAAAAAAAGTGTAAGTGAGATTTGAAAGAATGAATCGGATACACATCTCTGTTCCTGTAAATGGTTCTGCGACACGTTTGCACGTGGCTTTTTTTACATAAATCGCGGTGGCCCTACACATCTGTCAGGAGCATCATTCAGAGGAGCTGGCAGCTGTGGCCGTGCCCCATGTAGCACCTGCACACTGCATTCTGAGCAGATTCCTGTCTCTGTAAATTCTGTTCCTCTTTTGTGAAATGGGGTCACACCTTCCAGGATCGTTTAGAGAATCAAATGAAGCTTCTGAGTCCAGGGAAAAGTGTAGACCAGTTTCTAGATGAACATTTTGTCCCTAGGCCTGGGGACTTCTGATACTGGAACCTTGCCGCCGATCACGGTCTCTCTGTCTCCCCTCCCTTCCCCAGCAGCTGTGGCAACAGTGCTTGGCAGACAGAGAAATGAGGAAGATACCAAATCACGGGAACCTGCGGGTGGCCAGGGTGGCATACCCTCTGGGGCTGTGCGTGGGCCTCTTCATCTACGTCGCCTACATCAAGTGGCACCGGGCCTCCGCCACCCAGGCCTTCTTCAGCATCGCCGGGGCAGCCTCGGGGATGCAGTGGGGCCAACAGGCCCACAGCCTCCCGGGGACACCCATGCGTGGGCACGAGGTCTTCTATGGGATCATGTTTGACGCAGGAAGCACCGGCACCCGAGTGCACATCTTCCAGTTCACCCAGCCACCTGGAGGTATCCCAGTGGGAGGCTGATCACTTAGAGGAGCTGGCAGCTGGGTTCTGTGCCCTAGTTCAACACCTGCTGACGTGTGACCTTGAGCTGGTCACCCCATTCACAGGGCCCAGGCCATGGGGTCTGCCTTCTCCCCCTCTCAAGGAATGCTCTAGGGATTTCCTTCCCTTAAAAGACAGTGTGGGCTGCATCCCCTGCTATGGGCTCACCTGGGAGTTTATCAAAATGCAGTTTCCCAGAGATGCTGACTTGTGGACTGGGGCCACAGGCATTCCAGCTTATTCTTACCTTCTCGAGTGGTGACCACCACCAAAGGGCAGCTGACACCCTAGAGGTTCTTTGGGGCCCTGTCCCCTCCCTGCATTCACCTGCAGTTTAGGTGACAGGAACCATGACTTGGACCCGAGGTCATGGTGGGAGAATTTAAGGCAGGAAGTAACTCCAGCTTCAGGCCCACGGGAGCCAGAAATCTAGGAAAGTCAGATAAATAGCAAGAATTAACTATGCTAAAAATGAATCCTTTAAATGGATGAAATTTTTTGTATGTAAATTATCCTCAATAAAGTAGATTAAATTAAAAGAAAATAAAGTTCTAGCTGAAACATTAGGTATCATACCTAGCCTATTCGGGTGAACTGAAGAGGCAGAACTTAGGCAGGAGGAGCCGAGAGGCCCCTACCATTCTGAACTGGTCTGTGGTGTTAGACGTCTGCCTTTACAAGCATAGTTAGTCGTGGTCATATATGTTCATACAGCCGTGTGATATCATAGTTGTATCCTTTGTTAAATGTTTTCCCCTTAGAAACGCCGTCCTTGACCCATGAAACTTTCAAAGCCCTGAAGCCAGGTCTTTCTGCTTATGCTGATGACGTTGAAAAGGTAATTCTCGTGTCTATGCACATTTGTCTTATAGCCACGCGATTTGTTAAAGCCAGCTCCTTCCTCTGGATGTGGCAGGCCATTGTCACGGGGAGGTGTCAGTGGTGGTGCTGCCTGGGCATCTCCTGCTGTTTAGGATGGGCAGATGAACCTTGGAGCAGCTCACACCAGAGGAGAGTGCAGCCCAGGCCCCACCTACCAGTCACAGGCCCCACCTACCAACCATAGGCCCCGCCCATGCGGGGGATCCTCCAAGTCTTGGTGCAGATTGGAAGCCCAAATGCTACAAACTTACAAAAAGCATTATCTTACTGCTTATTTATTTAAATTGTTCACACTAATTTAGTTTTGTGAATTTTGCATAATACATTTTTAATTTTTTTGTTGCAGTTCTTTTGATCGAAGATAGCAAACACTGACTGAAACATAAAGTTAGAAATGTATTGTGCAAAATCCACAAAACCAAGTAAGAATGAAAAAACTTAATTAAACTGCTCAACAATTATTTTGTAAGCTTGTAGCACTTATTCTTCCACAGTCCCTAAAGCTTGCAACTGTATTTGTTGGAACACGCTGCTTTTCCGAGGCACTCATGAAGCATCTGTGATAGTGCGGCAGGTTCCTTTTGGTCCAAGCATTTCTGAAGTCGTAGCCGATGTGTTCCCGCATAGACGCGTCATGGTCTTAGACAGTGTGCAACATCATTCAGGCCTTGCTTTCCTATAGTTTGGTCAAAAAACCAATGGAAATTAGTGACTCTAGTGTGACCATGGGTAGACTTGATTGGATATTGTTAGAGTAAATGCCTAGAATTTTAAAAGTCCTGCATGTTTGAGTAGCTGACATGACACACATTTATGTGAAACAAGCACCCACGCTCCCCAGGGCAATGATGCCAACTCCCCTCTGCGCCAGGCAACCCGAGGACCACGTCCCTGCTCCTTTAAGTGTCCCTCGAGGCTGGCTGATGTGTGCAGGAGCAAGGGCATCCATGTTCTTCTGCCCTTACTGCTGGCCATGGGTGGTGCCACTCCGTGCTATGCTTGGCTCTCGTGCTGAGCGGTGTAACTTGGAGACCACATGCATCAGTGTGTGAAGAGTTCCCTGATTTTCTGCCACTTTGGAAAATTAGAAAAATAGTATTTATAAAACCAAAAGGATGGAGGTAGCAGGTGTGCCCCCGTGTGCCATACCTGGCAGACCTGCTCTGCTCCTCCCCCTTTACAGAGTGCCCAGGGCATCCAGGAGCTACTGGATGTGGCTAAACAGGACATCCCGTCCGACCTCTGGAAGGCCACCCCTCTGGTCCTCAAGGCCACAGCTGGTTTGCGCCTGTTACCAGGAGAAAAGGCTCAGAAGTTACTGCAGAAGGTGAGCTTAGCCACTGCCCCAACCATTAGCCATCCCTCCAGTGCTGGTGGTGACCAGACCGGCAGGATGTGGGAAGCCTCCTGAAGGGGACCTAGAGTGTTCACAGCCTCACCTTTGAATGAAGGAATGGAGGGTGACTGTGCTTGGCTCCTTGTGACACTTAGGGCTGCCTATGTTTTCTAGAGTGAGTCTGTGCTTTTTAACGGGAAAAGCAACTTCATTTCTGAAGTGCACTGCACCTTTGAGGGCCTCCCTTCACCCAGAGATGCGATGCCAGTCGGAAGGCTGTGAGCAGAACTCATGGCATCTGGCTCCAGCCCGTGGTCAGTTTCCCTGTCCTGCACTTGGTCTGCTGTGACTGTGGAAGAGGCCCCTTTGCCTCCTCACCCCAGCCCAGGCGCTTTTGGGGCCATGTCCCCACCTGTCTGGCACTCTACAGCAGGGCTAGCTAATGAGTCTTCATCTGGAGGATGGGAAGTTGCTCTAAGCAAACCAACCTCCTTGCCCTCTGCACTGTTTCCAAACCATGTGCCTGTGAGGCTGATCACTGTATGGCCATCAGGGTCCTCACAGCGTGGGACCATGGGAACAAGTACAGAGGTGTGGAAGCTCCTGTGTGGAGCCTTGCTGGGGGATGAGTAGGGAGGCACCCTGAGGCCAGCTGGCACTGGGTGGAGGATGCCCATGGCCCTCGCCTCCCCCTGCTGGCTCCTGCCAGCTCGTCTCCTTAGAGAGGACCCCACCAGGCCACAGGTGGCCCGGATTTGAGCTCTGCCTTTGGAGGGCTTCCCACTTCTTCATCTCATATCCCCAGAGCAGGGCAGTGTTTGGGACCTGGGAGGCTGAGTGCACCCCAGCTCACCCTGGCCACCCAGAGCCCTTCCAGTCCTGAGCGGCTTAGGATGGGGTCTCCAGGACAGCACATGCCTCAGCTAACCCAGAGGTAGATTAGTAGCTCCTTGCAGAGGGTTAGTGAAACTTGGAATGTCAGCTTTGTTGCCTCACAGCACAGCAGGGCCTCGCTGTCTTGCTTCTGCCTGCTGAGAGCACAATGCAAAAGTACTGACCTTAAATTCTGAGAGGTGCAGACTGTCTCTCTTTACGTTTAGGTGAAAGAAGTGTTCAAGGCCTCACCCTTCCTTGTAGGAGATGACTGTGTTTCCATCATGAATGGAACAGATGAAGGTAGAGTCCCAGAGCAGGGTGGCGGGCCTTGAGCAGGGCGGGGGCCTCAAATGGGGGGGGGAGGTTGTGCAGTGCTGCTGCTCAGAACTCCCACACATGGGGGCCCATGGACATTAGAGCCCTGTTCCCATGCACAACTGAAGTGTCCCAGAGAGTCCTTTTGGGACCACTGTCAGAGATTCTCAGTGTTAGGATGCCAACTCTGAACCTGGCATGGATGAAATTTCCGAAAGCATCTTTTTTCAGTTTTAAGGACATTTGGAGAGAATCTCCCATCGCTGCCACATGTAGAATGTTGCCGTTGCATTGTTAATTCTAAGTGAGAAACGCTTAAGTTTTCTTATTAGCCACTAATTTTAAATATGACCTTGAGAGTAAGAGTATAGGGGAGGGGAAGGGAGCAGAGTCTTCCCCTGCTAATTCCGGAAAGAGGAAGCTAGCCCTAAAGAGCCAGGAGGAGACATGGCATTTGGGGGAGTGTGCCAGATCTTCATGGGTCACCTTCTAGAATAGTCTGCTGGGAGCTACTAGGTTCTTTCGTGAGGAATGCTGCTCATGAAGAATGCTGTAGATGTCTGAAAGCCAAGCATGGTGAGGGGGTGGTCCCACATCGGAACACAGCCCGTCAACCATCCTATGTGTGATGTCTGTGCCTTGTATGATTAAAACACCATGTGTGACTCTCTTGCAGGTGTGTCAGCGTGGATCACCGTCAACTTCCTGACAGGTGTATGTCCACTTCTTCACTAAGGAGCACAGTCCACAGACACCATGGAGGAGGACTTGGCGGGCTGCCTGGAGAGTGGGGGCCTCATCTCTGCTCACTAAGATAGCCCCTCGGGGTCCTGCAGTGTTGCTGGCTTGAAGTAGGGTGTTAGGAGTGGATGGGGCATCCACTGACTGGGTGGGCCAGCAGGAGCCTGGAGGTATAAATGCCAGGAGGGTCCTTCTCTGCAGCCTGGGCCACCTCTCTCCCACCACAGCTGCTGCAGAGCACTCACAGGGACCCTGTCCTCCCACTTCAGAGAAGTGATGTGTATAACAGTCGAGTCTTCACACTTTAAATATGATGTGAATGCTCTTCACCTTATAACTTGATTCCTCTGGTACAGGTGGGACAGGGAACAAAAACGTGCTTTTAGACACAGGAGGCAAAGAGTAGTTTTTCTTAGATTATTCTTAGTACATGGAGATTTTTGTTAGTTTACTGGAATTATGGGGAGGAGCAGTGTCTGATGTATGCATGAAAAGAAAGAAGAGACCCGTGCTCTGTCTCCTGGATCCAGGGAGGTCTGGAGACAGAACAGGAGCCTCCACTCGGGAGCTTTGGGAGGAGAGACAAGGCTGCTGGAGTGGGTACCTTGTAGGCCCAGGTGGGAGGATCAGAGGAGTTGGTGTCTTCCAGGGAAGGGAAGGGAGCCAGTGACCTGTCCAGGAGTAGGCCAGGTCCAGCATCTCTCCCAAAGGTTCATGATCCAGATTAAGACCATGACTGGTAAAGCCATTGATCTTGTCCCTTAAACATATAGTCTACCTTTAGATGGAGATTTTTAAATAGCTGAACTACTTCCTTTGTTTCTCTTTCTGTGAAACGATCTGGCTTTTACCCTCTTTCACTTTCTGCTGTTATCACCTCTTACTAACCCAACCATGGTATGTTTTCACTCGCTATGCTCCAGGCAGTTTGAAGACCCCGGGAAGGAGCAGTGTGGGCATGCTGGATTTGGGTGGAGGATCCACTCAGATCACCTTCCTACCACAGGTCGAGGTAACCAGTCCCTGCCTACTGTAGCAGGCCTCCACCTGGGGAGGCAGGTTAGGGCCTGGGGTGCACTGCAATAGGGTGGTGAGCTGTCCTGGGGGGAGGCAGGGTAGGTCTGGGGGGAGAGGGTGCAGCATGCGGGCCAGGCTGAAGGCATCCTGAGATCAGTTCCTCCTCTGAGGGCCAGACCCATTTAGAAATGACGCTTCTTGCTTAGATTTTCACTCTCCAAGGAAGTGCCAACACTCCTGTTAGGGCCGTCTGCTGCTTAAAAAATGTTCCCTCCTCACCCACTCCTCTTCTTCTTTTTAATTTTCAGTGGAATAGAGCACTTACACTTGCTGATATGATGATTGTCTTGACTGGGCTGTACTTGTTGGGTTGGGTGAAACATTACTCATAGGAGGGAGGACATAGTTCTTCATTCTGGAAGTTTTACTCTTCATTGCTTGTGTCTGTTCTCACAGCAGGTGACTGAATGAAAAGCTCATTTAATTGGCTACATCTGAATATCCACATTCTTTAGATGAATTGAGGGAAGGCACTTTTTTTTGAGTTGGAGTCTCACTCTGTCACCCAGACTGGAGTGCAGTGGCACACTCACAGCCACCCCGGCGTCAACCTGCTGGACTCCAGTGATCCTTCCGCCTCAGCCTTCCAAGTAGCCAGAACTACAGGCGCTTATTACCATGCCCAGCTAATTTTTTACTTTATTGTAGAGACAAGGTCTTGTCAAGTTGCCCAGGCTGGTCTCGAACCCACAGTCTCAGGCAATCCACTTGCCTTAGCCTCCCAAAGTGCTGGGATTACAGGCTGAGCCATGGACCCTGGCCGGGGGAAAACATCTTAAAAAAGACCCACGGGAAGCAGGAAAGCATTGCCACCCTCGTGTACTTCACAGGGCACCCTGGAGGCCTCCCCACCTGGCTACCTGACGGCACTGCGAATGTTCAACAGGACCTACAAGCTGTATTCCTACAGGTCTGTTTCCAGAGTGTGAGTGGAACACTGTGGACATGCGGCTCCCCACACCTCGCACAGCCCTCATAAAGAGAGCAGGTCCCCGAGTCCCTACTGGGGGTCCACTCGGGCCCTCCTCCTCCTCCCTCATTCTTACTTAACCTGCAGTGCAAGCCCGCCTCCTTTGTGCTTACTCTGTTCTGTGGTAGCGCTTGTTTGAGAAGGCATGGGAGGATCCCATGATTGCTCAGGGTTTTTTGGGGCCCCTTGTCTGTGTGGCACCCTTGGTAGAGCTTTCCCTAGAGCATGTGCATCCATGAAAGCTGTGGTCAACTCTACTTGCCATGGTGTCCACGGCCCCTGGACGAGTTACTGCCATGGAATAGGCCCCGTGGGGTGAATTAACTAGCTGAGCGCCCTCACTCAGCTCTACCAAAGGAAGCTTCTAGAAGAAGCAGAAAAGCCCGCTATCTGCCCCCTTCCCACATGTACTGGGCCCTGCAGGTGCATGTGCCACGCCCCACACCCCCTGGGTGGCCAGCCCTCACCAGGTGTCCTCCCACAGCTACCTCGGGCTCGGGCTGATGTCGGCGCGCCTAGCGATCCTGGGCGGTGTGGAAGGGCAGCCTGGTGAGTGTATGCGTGTTGTCCGAGGCTGTGAGCCTCTGCCCTCCATTCTTAGGGGGAACACAGAGCCCCTCAGAAGGGCTGCTGCTTGGCGGGGGAGAAAAGGCTCTCTCACCCTTCCCACCCCACTGGGGGAGAAAGGTCCCCCCAGTCCTCCCGCTCCTTCCGCACCTCCTACACTGCTGCTGTTGCCACAGCACCTTGTCCCCGGCCAGGGGTGGGGCACTGCTGGCCCAGGAGGCACGTGCCTGGAGGGCCAGGCCCCAGATCTTGGTGACACCCGATGGGGCCTGAGAGCGCTGTGTTTTTGTTTTGTTTTGTTTTGTTTTTGAGTTGGAGTCTCACTCTGTCGCCCAGACTGGAATGCAGTGGCCGCTCCCGGCCGTAGCCTCGACCTGCTGGGGGCTCCGGTGACCCTTCCGCCTCAGCCTTCTAAGTAATTGGAACTACAGGCGCGCGCTGCCACGCCCGGCTAATTTTTGATTTATTGTAGAGATGAGGTCTCACCAAGTTGCCCAGGCGGGTCTCGAACCCGCGGGCTCAGGCAATCCACTCACCTCAGCCTCCCAAAGGCACGGAATTACAGGCTGAGCCACTGAGCCCAGCTAGTGCTGTGTTTTAACTGTACCCATTCCGGGTTGCTTTTTTAGAGCAGGGCACTAATGAAATCACTTCTGAAACACTGAGCTGGAGACTTTAGGGAGCCCATGTAACTGTGTCCAGATATCATCTGAAGTCAACTTACTTTTACTTTTAGGAAGTTAAAAAGAGAACTTAGTTCTCCAGACAGTATAGGAGGGGCTTGTGGAAATAATGCTGGGCTATTGCCCCTGGAACATTTCTCCCTCTCATTCATGATTCCAGCCTGGTGAGAATACCCCTCTAATGTCTCCTGCTCTGGGTCCTAAAAAGCAGGCCTGGCCCTTCCTCCCAGACATGATGTTTGACTGGAGACAGAGCCTGTGTTGGCTCCTATGTTTCTTCCTGAAGGGCCTTGCAGTAGTGCCTGGCCCCTTGGGAGAGCTCAGGGATCACCTCGGCCCGTTTAAGGGGTGGGAGCACTGCCGTGAGGCTGGTTGTAACCATCTTCCTGGCCACACTGAGCAGACACAGAGACTTTCCTGAGGCCCTGGCGTCTATTGTGTGCATTGGAGCACTCACCCAGAGCCCACCTGTGTGCCCTGCTGCACACCCCTCCTATGACCCCCCACTGCCCCTCCATGGCCCAGCATCTTCCACCTTCTCCAGGATCCAGGTGCTCTGACAGAATAGGAATGTTCCACTGAATTCTGTTCTCCCAAACACACCCTGTTGTGATTTCTTATAATGGTATACCTTTTGTTGCAAACCAAAATCAGGGCCACCTCTCAGAAGCACCTGCAGCCCTCACTCTGGGGCCAGCAAGCATCTGTTATGTAGTCAACAGGAAGCAGGCTGGCACCCATTGGCTCCTCCATGGTTCTCCATGTAGTCATGGCTTGGCCCTGCATCCCCACTCCCTCAGCAGGGCAGCCAGAGTGTTCCATGTCTCCTCCTAAGACTGTGCAGAATACCTGTTTTGGATCCTTGGGGGCCGTGGTACCAGCCAGGAGGCTATGTGTCTGTTTTGTTTTCTGTTGCTGCATAACAGACCACTCGAATGCTGAGGGTGAACAGCAGATGGCAGTCACACATGTGGGGCTCAGCTGGGTAGTATCTCTGTGGGTCCCGCCCCGTGGCTACAGGGAGCTGCTGTGCCTCTGCACTCCCAGAACCCTTCCTGCAGCGAGCACTTTGGCTGCTCTTGGGGCAGCTCAGACACATGTCATCTCCTGCCCATTCCACTGGGGAAAGCAGGCCCAGGTGAGAATCTGTGAACAGGACAAGCCCCTCTTTGCAGGGGAGGACAGCGTGCCATCCTCGAGAATGGCACTGGGAGCTGGCCTGGGCCTGCCACACTGCCTTTGCTCATGTGGACCCCATCTTTTGTGTCAGAGCAGCTCAGATTCAACTTGAGGTGCAGTGGCACTTGTCCTAGCCCTGCCACCACACTGCCGGCTTCTCGCAGCCTCAGTTATCTACAAAATGGGACAGTGATGGCTCCTTCCTAGTAGGGCTGCAGGCAGTTGCTGAGCTGGGCTTGGCCCGACACCTAAAGCGAGCTTCCCTAGGGTGTGAGTCCAGCATGATCTCAGCAATAGTTGCCCTGGGCGGGAGAGGCTTTGCTGCAGCTTCCCAAATGGGGAGGTGTTATACCTCATGACCTTCAGCTCTCCTCCCATCACATCCCCTGGCCCTGATGCCCCAGAAGCTCTGCACTCCCACTGCTCAGCTCCCTGTGGCCCTGTCTGATGGTAGTGACAGGCCTGCCTTTTCCATTTCAGCTCAGGATGGAAAGGAGTTAGTCAGTCCTTGTCTGTCTCCGAGTTTCAAGGGAGAGTGGGAACACGCTGAAGTCACATACAGGATCGCAGGGCAGAAGGAAGGTACAGTGGGTTTGTGGTCTGCTGGTGGCTTCTGAGGGCAAGGGTGACAGCCTCCCCTCCCTGTGCCTCCCCCCACACTCTGGGCAGCAGGGAGACCATCCTGACTTCTCACAGAAAGGCAGCCACACCTATCCCAGAGATGCAGGCAGCCCTGGAGCACGCTGGGAGCCTGCTCCCTCCACAGTTCTCCACACAAGGTGCCTTTGTCTGTCTCCAAGAGTTTCCTCCAGAGAGCAGTGTCCTGATGGGCTTCCAGTGATGAAGGGCCTGGACACCTTAGGCTCTGACACAGCCGTGTCTGGCCTAGATGCTCTGTGCTGAGTGGTTAGTTAGCGGAGGAGAATCGAGCCTCTCCTGCCTGGCTCCCCACCACTGTGACCCTGGACCTGGCCCCCACCCTTGATGCTTTGTGCCCTTTTTGTTTTATTTATAGGAAGTAGTGAAATATTGTTCCTAGGCCAGACATGCAGGCTTGAAGCCTGTGCTCTTTTGGTGACCGTGCAGGTCCCTCTGACTTAGTCATCCACTTGTATACTTGGCAGGTCAGCTGGTGTCCCAGTAGGAGGAGTCAGACAGCAAAAAACATGAGAAAGTGCTTTCAAGAAAAAATAAAGTAGGCGGTGGGTGCTGAGAGGGAGATTGCCACCTTAACAAGGGGCCAAGGAAGCCCTCGGGCTGGATTGGATCTGAGGTGGGAGGGGGTGGGACTGAGCCACCCAAAGCTCTAAGGCAGTGGCTCTCCAGGCTGGGCAAACAGCACATGCCAAGGCCCTGAGGCAACTGCTGCGCTTTGTGAACAGGAGGAGGTATGTGGCTTGAGAGGGTCAATGGGAGGAAATGAAGTTGCAAGGGCAAGGGCGTGGCTCTGTGGACCACAGGGAGCCGCACTTTGAGGGCCGGAAGCCTTGTGGAGCAGGATGGGGAGACGGGGGTGGGTCGAAGCGTGGGGCATTGAGATGTGCATTGGGTACCCATGCAGTCCGCTGGTCTCTGGAGTCCTGTGTGTGGCTGCTCCCCTTTGCCAGCCATCTGAGCTTGGCAAGTGGTCTACTGGGCCATGGTTTCCTCATCTGTGGTGTAGGGAGTGTGCAGGCCCCATGGCGAGGTGGCGGATGAGGTGGAACATAGGGCTGCAGGGAGTGGGCACAGGGTAGATAGGCAGTGTCAGCCCGCCACCTCCAGGCGGGGGCTTTGCTCCCTGCTGACCCAGACTGGCAGCCCCTGACTCCTGAGGGTAGCTCCTGATGTGTGTGGGGTCTTTGGGGTTCTGTCCTACTTCGCCCTGCTCAATGGGCTAGGTCTCCAGTCCCTGGGGAGGGTCCACCCACGCCTAGGTGTGTGCTTCCCCAGTGGCAAGCCTCCACGAGCCTTGTGCCAACCGGGTGGCAGAAGTGCTTCGCAACAAAGTGCACCGGGCAGAGGAAGTGCTGCAGGTGGACTTCTATGCCTTTTCCTACTACTACGATCTCGCGGCCAGCATCGGCCTCATAGGTAAGCACGGGGCTGGCAGCCTAGCAGGAAGATCAGGGCCGCAGCGTGGGTCACTGGGTAGAGGGCCTGTGCCGGCAAGCACCCTGCCATCATGTCCTCTGCAGGATGACAGGAGACCTGGGAAGGCACCTGGCCCTCAAATAGGAAGCCATGTGTCCTTTATTGGTAGGCTAGTTGCTTCTATAGGCAGCTACGTGGACAGTTCCTTGCTACCAATCCCGACTTGCCAGAAGGCAGGTCCCACCTGTCCTGACTCAAGCTGCTTCTGCCCAGCCCTCAGCCCTGGCCTGGGGAGCCCCTCTGTGATTCTGGGACGTGTAGGTGGCTGCCCCATCCCCCAGGGAGGACCAGACCTCTTAACGTGGGGTCTCTCTGACTTACTCTCCACATCTCAGGCAGCCGAGTCAGGTTGGAAAGGGTATTGGGTTGCTGAGACTGGTGTGATCAGACTGGAGGCTCTTGAGAGGGCTGCCAGGTCTCTTCCGTAGGTAGCCCCAGAATTCTTTTTATTGAATTAATTGAACGTATAAGAATACATGGCCCATGGCAAGAGTAAGAGCACTTCTGTTTTAAGTAAGAAGCCACCCAAGGAAACTGATGGCATCATGTTCCTGCTCCCAGGCCCAAGGCCTCCTGTGGCGCCTTCTCCCAGGGTCTTCTCCCAGTCTCTGGCCAGAGCCTTGGTGGAGGGTGGGCTGGCCAAGGGGAAGGCCAACCACCCTCACTTTTTTCTTCACATTTGGAACACTAGCACTAGAATACTATTGTAGGGCTCAATGCCATGACTTCAGGAAGTGTTCCCATTTCTTTACTTTTATGTTTTTTTGTTTTTGGTTTTTTTTTGAGTCAGAGTCTCACTCTGTCACCCAGGCTGGAGTGCAGTGG